CCTCAGGAGTCCCCCACCCCGTCCTGGTGTGCTGGTGGTGGACAGCGGGTGCAGGCGAGCTCACCATGAAGCCGGGCAAAGCGCGGCGTGGTGAAGAGCCCATAGTAGGAGGAGGCGCCCAGGGAGCGTGCGTACAGGGGCCCCACCAGCTCCTCATCGCAGCCGTCTGGGGTAGGAAAACACATGTTTGTCAGTGCAGGGCCCTTCCAAAGGCCAGCCCACTGGGTAGCCCAAGCTCCCTCTCTCTGTCCCCTCCCAGCAGCACACCCAGCCCTACCTTAAAGCCTTCTATTCAGTGCTGGCCACAGCAACAGCTGCGCCCTCAGAGGAGGCTGCCTTCTCCTTCTAGGGGAAACCTTAGGCTACACCTACAGGCCCAAGGTGTAGTACCTGCCTGGGTTAGTACTTCCCCAAACTCAGTCCCAAACCTTAGGATCTTCCAGAACTCAAATCAGCTCGAGACACCAATCCAGCTCCAACCTTAGCTTCCAGTCCCAACTCATCAGCCCCCAAACCTGCATCAACCCCCAATGCCGGCCTTGCTCCCAACTCAGCCAGTCCTAGCGCCATCACCAGCTCCACATCCAGCCTTAGCATCGGTCAGGGTCACCAACTCCTTCTTGGATCCCAGCCACAAAAACCCAGCCCAGCCACAAAACGCAACCCCGGCCACAAGCCCTAGCCATCTCCAAAGTCCAGCCCCAGGCCCCCGCAAAACCTTCACCTTAGCCTTGGTCACCAGTACCACACTCATCCCCAACCCCAGTCTCAAACCCAGGCGCCAGCTCGCGATTGGATCTCAGCCCCACATCCCTGCCCGACCGACTCAATCCTCGCCCCGAGCCCAGCCCCGGCCCCGGCCCCGGCCTGGGCCCCGGCCCCGGCGGGAGCGCAGCAGCCTTGGAGCTGCATTGCGGAGCGCGGGGGAGAGGCAGGGAAAGACGGGAGCGAGCGGGAGCGCGCCGACAGGAAGGACCCGCGACCACCCAGCCGCAATGCGGTGCGAGCCGCCCTGTAGGCTGGGGACTTCTGGGCCCAGCCCCACCAGCCTCGGAGCCCAGCACTCACAGTAGCCCCAGCCCCGGGCTCCTGAGACGGCGGCGAGCAGGACGCAGAGGAGCCGGAGACGCATCATGCAGGGCTGACGGTCCCGGCGGCCGCTTCCGTGTGCTCCGGCTAAGGCACCAGGTCCGGCCCGGGCCCGGGCCCGGGCTCCCAGCTCTCCCTCAGGGGTTTGCAGCAGACCGCGGTCGTCTCTCCTCCTTACCCAGCCCTCCCTTCCTCCACTCCAACCCGTTCTCGTTCTCTCTCTCTCTCTCTCCCTCCCCCCCCTTTCTTCCCTCCCTCCCTCCTGTCGTTCCTGGTCCTCTGCTCTCTCCTCTCCTTCCCACCCTCTCCTCTCACCTCCCCCCTTCCCCAGCCTCTCCCTGGCACGCGCCGTTTTCCCGGACCCCGCGCAAGCGCGTGTCTCAGCCTTGCTGCCAAAGGGCGGGGGCGGAAAGCCTCCAGCCACCGGGAAACACCGGCCCGAGTAACCCAGGCTGGCCGAGACTGGGGCCACAGAGGTGACAAAAGGGATGCTCGGGGCAGAAGGGCCGTGAAATTTTCAAGAAAGGGGAAGAAGGGAAGGGGTGCCCAGAGCTGGGTTGAGGGGTGAGTCAAAGAACCCTACTGTTTCTGAAGGCAAATTATGCTCCAGGAGCGGTACTGGGCATTCCCTTAACGCTATGAATTCAAATACTTATTCCACTTTGCAGATGAAAAACCTGAGGTTCAGAGAGGTCAAAAAACGTACTCAAGGTCACACAGCAAATCGTGATATCCCAAATTGCATTCTTTTTCCACTGGCAGGATAGATTCTTTTGGAAGAGATGGAATGGGAAAGTGAACCCACAGACCCTAATACCCATCTCCCTCTCGGCCCCTCTCCCCGCCCCTTCCTTCCGGTTCCACTAGTTGTTTAACTTCTGCCCCCTGCGGCTATACCTCAGAAACCTGTGTAGCCAGAGATGGGGACGGAGGCCACAGAGCAGGTGGGACTGGGGGCTGGGGGGGGAGGGTTACAGAGAGGGTGGGGCCGGGCCTCCCCAACTGGCAGTAGGCCTCTGCCATCCTGTGACCCATGTTGGATTCCTAGAGCTTATCTCAGATCTGGGAGTCCTCCAGACCGATGGGGCTGGTGGTGTGAAGCTGAGCTGTGGGAGGGCAGGTTCAACCTGGAGGCCGAAGGTCCCAACTGAGCCCAGAAAACCTGCACCTCAACCCTTGAGGCCCTCTTAGCATGAGTGGCTCAGTACCTCCCACACTGAAGGTAGAGGTGAGGGGGATGGGGGGGGCAGAGCATAAAAAAGGAGAGAAAGAAACACTCCAGCCCAAGCTTGGATTGGACTCCAGGGTCCAGGTCTGAGGCAAAGCCTGCATATGGGGGTCCTTCCAGGAGGGGGCACTGCAGAGGGAACTGAAGCTCTAGGAGTGAGTATTTATTTATTTATTATTGTTTGAGTTGGGGTCTCACTCTGTCACCCAGGCTAGAGTGCAGTGGCAAGGTCACAGCTCACCTCAGCCTTGACCTCCCGGGTCAGGCGATCCTTCCACCTCAGCCTCCTGAGTAGCCAGGACTACAGGCATGTCACCACACCCAGTGAATTTTTTGTTTTTTTAATTTTTTGTAGAGACGAGGTCTGGCTATGTTGCCCAGGCTGGTCTGGAACTCTTGAGCTCAAGTAATCCTCCCACCTCAGCTTCCCAAAGTGCTGGGATTACAGGTGTGAGCCACTATGCCCAGCCACTAAGGTTTATTAAAAATCCAAAATTTGGCCTTTGGAAAACACAGAGGCCCCACATCCATTATCTTCCATATTTCAAACAATCCTCGCAGCAAACCTTGCCAGGTGGGCTGATCAGAATTTCTTTTCTTTTTCTTCCTTTTTTCATATTAGACTCAGGGTCTTGCTCTGTCACCCAGGCTGGAGTGCCGTGGCACAATCATGGCTTATTACGGCCTCCAATTCCTGGGCTCAAGTGATCCTCCCACCTCAGCTTCCCAAGTAGCTGGGATGACAGGTGTGCACCATGATGCCTGGTGGCTAATTTTTATTTTTGTAGAGACAGGAGCTCCCTATGTTGCCCAGGTTGGTCTCAAACTCCTGCCCTCAAGTGATGCATCCCAAGTTCTTAGGATTACAGGCATGAGCCACCTGCATGAGCAGGATTTCTAATCTCAGCATTACAAATTAGGAAACTGAGGTCCAGAAAGAGCAAGTGGCTTGTTTAAGGTCACCCAGGACGCTGGAAACAGAGGCAGGAGGGGTGCAAGGGAAACCAAGTCTTGTTGAGGGTGTACTAGGAAGGGTCTCTTTCTCTGGGAGCAGTTATACCTGGTCACACAGGAGCTCCAGCTTGGAAGTCGTGTAGGAGAGGGAGGTTCATGGTAAGATGTCTCATAAGATCCCTTCTCTCCTTTGGACTTTCCAGGTTTCCTGGGGCTTCTACTCCGGGGATGAGGGGGAGGCTTACTCAGCGGAGCCCTTGCCGGAGCTCTGCTACAAAGCAGATGTCCAGGCCTTCAGTCGGGCCTTCCAACCCAGTGTCTCCCTGACCGTGGCTGCGCTGGGTCTGGCGGGCAATGGCCTGGTTCTGGCCACCCACCTGGTGGCCCAACGCGCAGCACGATCGCCCACCTCCGCCCACTTGCTCCAGCTGGCCTTGGCTGACCTCCTGCTGGCCCTGACCCTGCCCTTTGCGGCAGCAGGGGCTCTTCAGGGCTGGAGTCTGGGAAGCGTCACCTGCCGCGCCATCTCCGGCCTCTACTCGGCCTCCTTCCACGCCGGCTTCCTCTTCCTAGCCTGCGTCAGCGCCGACCGCTACGTGGCCATAGCGCGAGCGCTCCCAGCCGGGCCGCGGCCTTCCACGCCGGGCCGCGCGCACTTGGTCTCAGTCATCGTGTGGCTGCTG